TTATTTGAATAAGCAATTTACTGGTCTTGACGTCCAATTATATTTCGATTTCTGCTATGGTCACGCTCCCTACCAAGTTTTCAGAATGACCCAAGTCAGATATTGGTGTGCTGTTATGGCGACATTTCATGATTTGTTTTTCCAACTCTGATGTTACATTGACAAAGTTCTTCTTACTATGTCGTCTGTACATATCAAGACAATTTTTTGCATTTCTCTTAGGCTGGGATTTCCAGAGATTTTTTTTAATCTTTTGCGTTATTTTTTTAAATTCCAAGTGCACCTACTATGACAAGTACTATTCTTGTTTTCAATTTCCACTTTTTTTCTATTTCGATTTCCTTGTCTTCATACTTCGAGATTTTTTTTTCAAATTCCTTGGTTGCTATGTTATAGTCCGCTGAGCAAGCCATATCAATTTGTAGGCAAGTTTTTTCCTTTCGACTTTTTGACAATTATGTCCGGCCTATTTGCATCAACCGTCCTGTCTGTGAAGATTGTGTAATCCCATACAATTGTGATGTCTTCTATTTCTGTAAACAATGTTGGGTGATGTTCATACCGGCATTTATTAACATTTCCTCCAAAGTGTTTGTATATTATTGCCCCACCATATCGTGATGAATTTATATTCATTCGGCGCAAGTACAGGCATCCTGAGATTAGATGGTCTATGATTTCCTGATATATGTCACAATAATATTTGCCTGAAAGTTCCTACTGAAAACTTCTGATCTTCCGCAGCAAGAATAATGCATTTCATTTCAGCCTTTAACCCAGATGCTTGTAACTATCGATGAGTGTTAACTTTATCAACATCGTCTTTATTAGCCTCGTTCTGGATATTGGCCATACAGAGATTTCTCTTGCCAGCGTTGTTTCATCTGTTCAAGAACTTTATCCTTGGCTTTCCTTTTTATATTTTTTGCTACAACAATTGGTTCTTGGGTTTTGTTTTGGTTTTCTACAGAATCTACTAAATGTAAATCTCGTTTGTATTTACAACCTTCTTTCATGATTGATTTTTTTTTTTTCTGTTTTCCTATTGTTTAACTAATTGTATCATCCAGTCCTTTGTTGTTTCCATATATGTTAGTTAAGCCAATAGTTGTTGCCTTGTATGATAATTTTAGCTCTTCCACCTTATTTACGAGGTATATATATTTGGTCTGCATTAACCTTTGGATGATTTATGTTATGCTTAGAAAGAAGTCTTACAGTCCATTCGTCTGATATCATTTAAATTACAGGGCAAGATATTGAAACTATATTTCACCTCTGGGATGGCAAGGCTATTAACAGCCATAATTCTGTTCTGAGAATTCAATTCAGTTCTTAATATCAGTCGCACTATTCTATAGTACTCTTTTCGTACTATTTCTTTCATTTTTTGTTATGGGGATTTCTTTCGCTCTCATTTACACCGATTTTCTTATAAGCTTCTTCTTGCTCTAAATCTTTGATTGCTACCCCAGGATCTAAGCTAATAGATGAGGTTTGTTGTACTCATCCTCGTAAAATTGTAGCTTTAGCACATTTACTCAAACCAAATTCCATTCCAATATCATCAAACGTTTTACTGATTTCAGGAGACATTCCTAGTATGCAACTTTACGTAAAATAGATGGTTTATTTTCTTTTGAGATATTTGATACCCATATTCCATCCTGTTAAGTTGGCTGGGTGTTATTATTATTATTATTATTATTATTATTATTATTATTGTTGTTGTTGTTGTTGTTGTTGTTGTTTCCATTAATTTATCTTGTATACACATTTCTTTCCTGATTCCAATCAGAGACCTAAGGTCAGAAATAGATTTATAACATTTTCCACTGATTATTTTTGTAAAAATTATTATTATTATTGTTGCTGTTGTTATTATTATTATTATTATTATTATTCCTTTGATTTCTGGTGTGTACTCATTTCTTTCCGGGTCCCGCCCAGAGGCCTAATATCAGAAATGGCATCATGACATTTCCTAAACATATTTTGCATAGATAAATCTTTACATAAGGTGTGGGCTGTACCCATGAGAACATTTATTTTCTATTTCTTTAAGGCATAGGCTTCCAGGGATCCCTTCAATCAGTCTACTGGAATAATTTCCAACCAATCCGAGGGCTCCAACTAAAACAGGAATTGTTGATCTTCCCATGTGCCACATTTTTGAGATTTCGATTTCAAGGTCCTTGTATTTTGATAGCTTTTTGAAGATCTTCAAAGATACATTGGAGTCCGGAGGAACTGGCATATCAATAAGGAGGCAATTTGTTTTTGTTTTCGGTCTCTAATAATGATGTCTAGACGAATAGCTTTGATTCTTCTGACTGTATGTATTGCGTCCTATCTCCGTAACTGGATCTGGGTGGTATTATTATTATTATTATTATTATTATTATTATTATTATTTATTATCATTATTATTATTATTATTATTATTATTTATTATTATTTCCTTTGGCACAGTCTCTTACCTGGTCATTTACCGGGATCTAGATTAAGGTAAGCTGTATGTATCATTCTGTTTGCCCAATTTCTGATGTTATGTGATGCTTAACATATATAGTGTCTATATTTTATTTACATTAATAATAGTCTCCTGAGTAGATAAGCATTTCCACAGTGATTTTTTGTGTCTTATAAACATTTTGTAAATTTAATATTGAACTTTTTTATCATACCCTGGCCTCCAATTGTAAGTAAAACACTAGTTTGATGGTACCACATTTTTTTTTTTCAATTTTAATTTCATGGTCCTTATATTCACTTATTTTGTCATATTATTTAACAGTTATATTTCTATTTAATGTAGCTGTTATTTGTTTGAGAAGGCATTTTATTTTGTAGTCTTGAATCTCTGTCTACTTTATTAGCTTTTATATGTTTATTAATAAGACCTGTGAACTAAAAATCATAGGGTATTCATGGTTTTCTATGACTTGTTCAAAGTGATGTTCATAATATTTTTTCATGTTGTGGCACGCTATAATATATAATAATATTTACATATTTTTCAGTAAATATACTGCACAAAATTATAAATAATTACTTCCTGTGTATTATTTCGTTATCAAGATGTGTCTAAGGCTTATTTATTGTCTGAAGAAGATATTAATGACCTAGATCCAATTGCGGAGAATTTCATTGATAAAGCCAGTTCAAGTAATATGAATACCGACAATGAGAATGTGTTTCCAGGCTTTAAAGATGCATATTTACTTTCTCAAGATGACCAAGGTTTTGTGAAGCATGATTAAATTAACATCTGTGATACATTTTAATATTTTTCATGTTTGCTATGTATGGTGGTGTGTACTGTTTACTGAAATAACAGTTTCTGTTAGAATGCATTCAATTTTTCCCGTTCTTGTTATATACTACTGATAAGATTCAATGAAGAAGTTTACATGTACTGTAGCTGTGTTGTGTTGTTGTGTTGTGTTGTTGCGTTGTGTTTTACAGTATATCAACCTCAATGGGTTATTTAATGCCGACAACTTATTTTTTCCTGGTAATATTTTGTTTTGTCAAAAATCTATTTCTGCTAATATTTTTTTCGTCAAAAATGTATACCCGGTAATATTATTTTAAAACATGTATTGCTGGTATATATCTTTTTTTTTTTCAAAAACATATTGCTGGCAATATTTTTTATCCAAAAATTTATTGCTGGTAATATTTTTTTTCAAAAATATATTGCTGTTAATATATTTTTTTTCTTCAAAAATTTATAGTAACGGTATTAACTATCTCTTCTCCCCTAGCTATGGGTTAATTAGTAGGACTTATACTAGTAAATTATAAGTATCTCAAAATAATTCTTAAAATCAAAAAATATCTTCTGGTTTTAAATAACCTGCAAAATGTTGATAATCCGTAAAGAATAAAGCAATCAATCAATAACGTTCTATCCCTTGTAGCTCTAAGCAATGCTTACTGCCTTGGTATCCTTCTACTGCCAATTTACATAATCTCTTTACGTAGGATACTCGTTATTTCCCTATGCCCATCATACCTTCAATAAGCCTTGTGAGTGTCAAATTATCCAAGCCTTTTTTAAGTGTCCCAGAAATTTCCGCACATTTTGATTCTATGTATAAGTGTCCTTTTTGAAACCAATTTATGAATTGAGCTGAATAGATTTTTTCTTATTTTGTTTTATTTTCATTTATTTAGTTATTAATTTGGAATTAAGACATGTCTTGCCGGCTTAAAATGTCACATTGATAATAATATAAAAATATATCTAACAAAACGATACGAAAAAACACTCTGTAAGCATCCACTTGTTTGAGGAGTCTGAAGACAACCAGATGTTTGAGTAGTTTGAAGGCTACCAGATTTTTGAGTACTTTGAAAGATACTAGACTTTTGAGTAGATTGAAGGTTCCTAATCATATGAATAGTTCGAAGGATACTCGCTTTTGAGTATTTTAAAAGCTACAAGACATTTGAGTGGTTTGAAGGCCAGTATATTTTGAGTAGTTTGAAGGCTACTAATCATTTGAGTATTTCGAAGGATACTCACTTTTGAGTAGTTTAAAGGCTATTATACTTTTGTGTAGTTTGATGGCCACTATGTTTTTGAGTAGTTTGAAGGCTACTAGAGTTTGACTAGCTTGAAGACTACTAAGCTTTTAAGTAGTTAGAAGGCTAATAGATTTTTGAGTTGTTTGATGGCTACTAGACTTTTGTGAAGTTTGAAGGCTACCAAGCTTGATAGAAATTAATGAAGATTTCTTTGTTTTTATTAATAAACTGGGTTTGATCTGACGAAAGAAAAATATCATTCAACACTAAAAACCGGATATTGTAAAACGAGTAATTGCTAATAGAAATACAAAAATCAAACCAGTTATGATTTATACGTAAATTTGGCGCAAAACAAATTGGATACTGGATCTTACTTTTTTTCTCCATTTTTATGGGAAGAATGAATATTATTTTCCTACTTTTTATATTAAGTATATGTTCAATATCAGACATAAAAATAAATGCTAACCCACAGACAAGACAAGAAAATTTACTGGAGAGCTAAAGTTAGCAGAAGGGAAAATACAATCCATTTTATCTATCTATCTATTTTTTTCTATATATCTATTTTTATCTGTCTACGTAAGTCTGCCCATATCTATCTATCTATCTATCTATCTATCTATTTAGCCAAGTCTGTTCCTATCTATCTATCTATCTATTTTTATCTATCTAGGTAAATCTGCCCATATCTATCTATCCATCTTTCTATTTCTGTTCATATCTATCTATCTATCTATCTATCTGTCTGTCTGTCTGTCTGTTCATATCTATCTATCTATTTATCTCAGTCTTTTCATCTCTCTCTCTCTCTCTCTCTCTCTCACACACACACACACCTTTCTCATTTAAGTTTTTTTTTTTGTTTCATAATAACATTCTATCACGGACTTTCTCACGCATTTTATCATTTCTCTCTCTTTTTTTTCTTTCTCTTTTTTTTCTCTCTCTTTTTTTTCTCTCTCTTTTTTTTCTCTCTCTTTTTTTTTTCTTGTTCCTTTTGTGATCTTTTTCTCTGCCTCGTCAACCTCTTTTCTCTTCTTTTTCTGCCTTGCGTTTCCGTTTCCGTTTTCTCACTCACTCTTTCTTCCCATTTCATTGTTACTCTTTCCTCTTTTTCCTTCATCATCATCACCCTATCATATCTATCTATCGAGCTATCCATCTATCTATCGAGCTATCCATCTATCTATCGAGCTATCCATCTATCGAGCTATCTATCTATCTATCTATCTATCTATCGAGCTATCCATTTATCTATCGAGCTATCCATCTATCTATCTATCTATTTAGCTAAGTCTGTTCCTATCTATCTATCTATCTATCTATCTATCTGTCTGTTCATATCTATCTATTTATCTCATTCTTTTCATCTCTCTCTCTCACTGTGTGTGTGTGTGTGTGTGTGTGTGTGTGTGTGTGTGTGTGTGTGTGTGTGTGTGTGTGTGTGTGTGTGTGTGTGTGTGTGTGTGTCTACCTATCTATCCGTCTGCTTGTCTCAATATATTCATTTCTATATCCCTATCTATACTCGTATCTCTTCCGGTATGTTCTTATCTACCTACCTACCTACCTACTTATCTATCTCAATCTTTTCATATATATATATATATATATATATATATATGTGTGTGTGTGTGTGTGTGTGTGTGTTTATATACTGAAACTTCCAATGATATCTTCCGATGTTAGAAGAAAACCACGTGAGAAATAAAAAGAAAACTGAATGAAATTTAAAGACAGATGCATGTTATCCAAAATAACATTTTAGAAAAACTTTCAAAAAACAATTAAGTAAATATGACATACAAAACGTTGATTAAGACAGAAGAATTTTTTCATTACTCGTCGGAGAACTATTGAATTAGTAAATTAGCTTGCTGCATCATTACTGTCTTTGCTGCATCCTTGGTATCAAATGGAGTGAAAGTACCCAACGCCCAGTCCTAGTTCACGCTGGCCTCCTTACTATGTACACGCTGCTCAGACAACGCGAGGTGCGTTGGCTTGGCCATGTGCGCCAGATGGAAGATGGCCGTATCACAAAGGGCACGACGAACTATCTTCTGGCAAGAAATCTCATGACTGCCTCCAGCTGTGCTACAAAGATGTCTACAAGTGCGATATGATAGCTCTGGAGATTAACCAAGAGAGCTGGGAAGATGTAACATCTGACCGCTATAGTCGGTTCAGTGGGGTCTGAAAACAAATCACTTATGGGAAAAGAGAAGGCCTATCCCTTAGAAGAGGAAAAGAGAGCAAGGCGGAAAGCGTTCTTCTGTATAGATAATCCCATGACCAGTAAGAGCAGACGCTGTTCCAAAATACGATTTGAGACCAGGGTCGTCAAACATAGCCGGCATTGAACGAAGGCTTACTACTACTGCTAATAATAATAATAATAATAATAATAATAATATATCATTGCTAATATAGAATATAGAATTTGTGTTCTATTATTCTGGTTCTATGTCAGACGTCGTAATCTTGATATATATTTTCGTGAACTGACACCCCGAATGTTACAGTTACACTGATAAATTGAGCAGCATTAAAGCACCCTTGTTAATGTCACGTGTCAATCCTGGGAAGTGAGCAGCAATGTAACAGACCAGATTCGCTCACCCCTTCGAACCATCGAAGACGCTCGACTTGGGGTTACAGATTTTGCTGCATAAAATTTGCATATAACTGTTTAAAATTGTATTTAAAAATTAGATATATAGGCGTCAGGTTAAACAAATGCGAATATCAAATTATGTTACTTGACATAGTCAGGGTTCAGAAATATAGGGTGTTTCACAATATCTGAAACAAAGCAGTGACCTCTCATGTAAGGAGAGCTCTATGAGCGTGAAAAATTTGATGGGGAACAGTAGTCTCCAACAGGATAGTGCTCCTCTTGACACTGCTAATGTTACCATGGCATGGCTCCGTGGAAAGTTTGGGGAGCGTTTCATCAGTCATAAAGCGAAAGTATAATGTTCATCAAACTCACCTGACCTAAACCCCCCAGATTTCTTCCTATGGTGCTTTTTGGAGTTCAACATCTACCATTTCAATCCTTGCAACATTGCTGCATTGAAAGTGACTATTACTGATAAGATTTAAGCGATCGCCAAGTAGGGGTCAACAACTTAGTATTCAACAGTGACTTCAACTTGAACGCCGAACATCTGGGAAATGTACTCTAGGGATCCTCTTGACATTTTTTTGTTCATTCTTGAGACTCAATGGTTCCAGATCCTAAAATGTTATCCTTTTTACCTTTCAATGAATGTAATTTCCATTACTCTATCATTTGTGTTCCTTGATTTGTCCCCGATCATTTTGTTGTGAAACACCCTGTTTGTCACACATTTATTTTCTCGCACTTGTTTGTATCTTACTTCCCTGATGGCTACAATCTTCAAAAAATTAAATGCAACGCCAATCGCCATCTTATTTATTTTCTTGTCCTTTCTCCTTACCAATAAAGCTTCCTCATTTTCTTTCACTCCGAGTAACCCCGTGCATCTTCGTGGCATTATCACCTTGTTTGGGGTGAAATGATTAAAAAATCATATTTTTTAAATACAGGTCCTAGTTTATCGTATAGTTACTAATATAGTATGTTTGAACTTTATTTTGCGTCTCAGTATTTCGAACATCCATCATGCTGCACTGGAAGAGTTAGCAAATTTGTTTCCTTAATCGTTACTCGACAAAAGTTTTTAAAATTCGTTTCAGGACCAGTTATAAGGACACTCAGTCAAGCTGAACTGTTATCAAAATTATCTGTATCATTCACCACATAGTCAAATGCATCATTAGCAATTTTCTCCAGAGTAATTATGGGGAAGAATTAATGTTATATACATGTGTGATCGAATATCGATGTTGATGAGAATTGTAGATGTTTGCATATCTCAAAACCGGCGAGAATGTTTTAATAAAATTAAGCAAATTGCCTGCAATAATTAACAATTCACAAATCGTAGAAATGGCCACGATAGAGATTTTGTTCAATTTCAAACTGCTAATTAACTCGTTTGCTAAATGACCATATATATATATATATATGACATGTCTGGTCTCTATGAGCGACATTGGTAGCATGTAACTCAATACTACCTAACTCATGGTTTGATCATCGTGCTCATGTCAGGTGAGATGTGTTCAAAGAGTGGATCAGGCAATGGCTCAAGTCATGCTCGGGGTAACTTTGACAAGTCAGAGATTTTCATCTGAATGCCAAGCATGGTGTTCATCTTGTTAGAGATATCTAAGGTATCCTCTATATAAATCCGTTTTCTCAGATCAGTGATTAAAAAATGGTTTTGAAGCAAATGTCCTATAAATCTTCTGGCACTACAAAATCCTAAAGACCATATATACATATATATTTGCAGCATGACAAAAAACCACAACACTTAAGGCTTAAAGCAGGAACCACAGTAATTGACATCCCATGAAACTAGAAAGGAAAATCATATTATAATGAAGCTGTTAATTTTCCACGCGACCAAAAACAGAATATTTCGCAGGAAACTCCCATTGGTATTAGAAAGAGCTATAACATTTAGTGAACTTGAAAGTATCTTAAAGTAAGAGTTACTTGAATTACTAGAAAAGATTGTTTTATATGGGGGGGGGATATTTGAATAATCTGTAATTGTTATTGAAAACAAAGAGGCTACTTTATTGATAGGGAAAACAGACTCTGGGTATATAGATCAGTTATAACAAATTCAGTATAAGATATAAAGAAATTGAACCCAGTATAGTTGTACTAGCGATAAATTTGTCTATCATTGACAAGTCATATCGCGATTTTCAAATGAATGCCAAGGTGGCGTTCATCTTGTTAGATATATCTAAGGTGTCATCTACATAAATCCGTTTTATCAGACCAGTGATTAAAAAATGGCTTCAAGCAAATATGTCCTATAAATCTTAAAGAAAACAGGGTGGAATCAATCAGCCACCTGTCCGTGACCAATTCGAACATTCAATTAGAAGAATACCGGTTATAGTTTCACCTATAGAATAATGGTCTACCTACCCAAGACACGTTCCGCATGAATACATATCCAGCAGTCAGGTAGATGGCCACGCAGCGACCCTACGAACACCCCTGGTCATGGGACTCATGATGATGATGATGATAGTTTATGACATGTCAAAATACCTGTCTTCTTTCAATTCTGTGCAGTAAACGCAATTAGATTAAAACTTTTATATCCCTATTGATCAATGTTTACCACATAGTTCATGCATGATCATTGTGTACCTATTAACAGATTACGTTCATTGTTAGTGTACTATAAATTTTCTTTTTCTTCCAATTAATATAAATCTAGGTTAACTGTAGAATTTACAAAACAGTAGGATCAACATCTTGGTAACCAATTGATTGTTGCTTTCTATTCATCTAATACATCTTATCACGTCCTTCAAATCGTATTAATTAAAGGATCTCTAAATATATAACAGGAGCACTAAGCCATATGTGGCAGCAATATCCTAAGCATGGGCTAATGGTAGACTTGCAAATAAGTAAGACAGATTCGACCGAGAAAAAACTGTCTACCATGACACAGAGAATCAACTTTCAGAGCACGAAACTGAACAATTGATTCAATATAACCTTCCACGAAATATTAGCCGGAGAATGCGCAACGAGTCACTCTCCTTGAGCTTATCATTAGACATGTTGGTAGAAGGCAGAATGGATTCTTTGAGACGGTTAAAAAAGAGCAGTTTTGTTGTGGTGGCCATGAGATTAACAAGCCAATCCTTGCCCCAGTTAACAACAGATTGTAGGTCATTTTTAGATCAGCTGTCAATTTGACTCTATCGAACCGATTAGACTTACAATTAAGACAGGTGTAAATATTTGTGCCATCAGTATAGATACCGAATTAAGAACTGGTAACATTAGGAATGTATAGAGCCATTAGAAACACCTGCATTAATGCAAAAAGATCTAAAAGCATGGCGATTCAAGACTACCTTCATATCATGATTTCATAAGGTAAATTGAATCGATTACAAAATGTGTTCAGAAATACTATAAACTCTTAACATGTAAAGAAGACCAGTATGACAAACCCCGTCAAGTGCCTTCGAAATATCCAGAGTAATAGACTAAGTTTCACCATTCTTATCTAAAGATTCTTTCCGCAATAATCGTTAATGCATCATATATTTTCGAATTCAAATGTGTCAGTTTTGTAATTATGATTGTCTTAACATCTCATGAAATTGATTTTCTATTTAATATCTTTTATAATCGGTTATTGTACGCGGATAATCGATTTAACCTGGTTGTATCCAAATTAACCAATGTTAGAGTCTTGAGAATGCAGCAAACGATTTTGAATTTCTATTCTTGTAAACGATTTTTTAGAATCTAATTACAACATGAGAAGGTATTTCAATTCGTTTTGAAAAGCTGCATTTGGTAGTTAGAAAGATCATCTAAACCAAGTGACATTTGGCAACTTCCGGTAGGGTACTAAATGCTTAACTCTTAAAAATTTTCTTAAAAATAAGAAACGTTTCACGTTGGCTTATATTATTAATTAAATTTTTTATAAAAAAAATTACACTGCTTTGAGATTTATTATATTCTTAACGAAAGTGAAAGAAAAAAGTACACTTATACATAGAATCAGAAACACACGGTTGCAATTTGTGTGACACATAAAAAGAAAAAAGACTTGGAAAATTCAATGCTCGCAGGTCATATTGGAGTCAAGAGGGAGAGACGGAAACATCTATTAACCTACTTAACGAAGTTATATAAATAGATGGTAGAAAAAGTAGTGGGAAAGATAGTAAAAAGTAAACTTTACTTAGAGTTATGAATAACAAGATGTTGTGGAGAGCCATGACCGCCTCCCCTACCGTGAAGGAACACAGCCCACAGAAGAAGGAAAAAGGTGAAAAAAGAACATTAATTAAGGCTTTTAACTATAGGGAAAAGACTAAATGATATTTATATATATATATATATATATATATATTGTTGATGTCATTTGTTACCATCTAAGAAAATTTTCAAAGAAATAATGGTAAAATCTATTATGGTTCTTTGGTGAAAATCTTAATTTGCCATTTTCTTGGAGAAAAGAGAATACAGATCGAAAGAATAATTAATAATTTACCTCAAATAAAATACAAAACAATAGAATGAAGGGGGTGGGGACGCGAATAAAAGAACGAATATTATTCTTTTATGTGTCGCGTCATTTGAGCATGTGCACGTTAGTGGCTCTCCACAATTTACTATTTTTTTTAGATCTTAGTAAGATTTGTCTTTTCCCTATCTCTCCCACTCCACGTCCTGCTAATCGTTTACAAAAGCTCGTTATATAGGTTTTTCTCGGCTTTCCCCTCTAATGGAGAAACTGAAAATGTACAGAAGAAAATTAACAGTTACGGAATATGGAAAGATATTTAAAAGAAAGAAAGACAAAAAGAAAGAAAGAAAATATTTAAAAGAAAGAAAATAAGTAAGAGAGAAGGAAGAAAGAGAGAAAATATTTAAAAGAAAGAAAGATAGAAAGAAAGAAAGAACGAACTAAATGAAGAAAGAAAAAAAGAAAGAAAGAAAGGAAAAATATTTGAAAGAAAGAAAGAAAGAAAGAAAGAAAGAAAGAAAGAAAATATTTAAAAGAAAGAAAATAAGTAAGAGAGAAAGAAGAGAGAAAATATTTAAAAGAAAGAAAGAAGAAAGAAAAAAGACAGAAAGAAAGAAAGAAAGAAAGAAGAAAGAAAGAAAATATTTAAAAGAAAGAAAGATGGAAAGAAAGAACGAACGAAATGAAGAAAGAAAAAAAAAAGATATTTGAAGGAAAGATCTTTAAAAGAAAGAAAGAAAGAAAGAAAGAAAGAAAGAAAGAAAGAAAGAACGAAATAAAGAAAGAAAGAAAGAAAGAAAGATATTTAAAAAAGAAAGAAAGAAAGAAAGAAAGAAAGAAAGAAAGAAAGAAAGAAAGAAAGAAAGAAAAACGGAAATGAATTCCTCGAATTTAAGCGACTCAAAAATGATTAAACCAATGAAAAGTGTTTCCCTTTGAAGTTGGAATCCAGCACACGCTGCTGAGCGCAATTGGTATGACCAACTTGTCACATTGATTTTAATCAGTGTATTTGATTAATTACTGAACGGGCTAACGATTGTTTTATTATATCTCTGGAATATTTTTGCTGTGTAAACTGTAGAAGCAACACAAGAGCGTTATTAGATCTTCAGTTGCCTCTATTATCAGTGTGAAGGAATTGAAAGATGGTTATTTAGTAATTTAATTCCTCTTAACACTTGGATACAATGACCTTTCTATTGATTGGGACATTTAATTAGTAGTTTGGAATGAAGTGTTTCTGACAAAAGATTCGTTCAGCTATCATGTGTTTTGTTTTTATTTTTTAATTTAGATTTACTTTCCGCTCAGTTCGAAAGAAAATGTCTTTGTGGCAGATATCATATTCAATATCAATGAGACTTTTTTTGTCAATTGTCAATTGCAATGTCTTGTGTTTGGACCTTGTTTACAGGCCAAAACACAATTGTCAGTGTGTGTACATATGTATGTGCGCATGTCATTGCTTGAATGTTTTTGCGCATGCGTAATTTCAATCATAGGGATAGTGGGGTAAGATTTGAAGATGAAATCAAGTGGATGAGAGTTAAAAAACAGTGGCAATGAAAGTGGGAGGAGTAGGAAGTTGAAATACGTAGACAGAGAAATAAAATGAAATTAGTGATTAGTAAAGAAACGCGAGAAACGATATCAAGAATGAGCGACGGGAAGTAAAGAAAAGTGGCAGGGTTAGGGCTAGAAGTGTGGGGGTTTAAAAAAAAAAGGGGGAACGAAAAAGAGATTAAAAGAATGAAGGAAAGAATAAGGAAGGCGGGCAAAATGAAAAAAAAAAGGGTAAAAAGAGAAGGAAACGAAACGTATGATGGCAGAAAGGAGTGAAAATAGGAGAAATTAATTGGAAATGAAAATAAAGCGTAAAGGAAAGATTTTTGTTTTGTTTTTTGTTTTTTTTTGGCTTTTTTTGTTTCGTTTTTTAGGGAGTTCTAAATTATGAAGGAATAAAAATAGAGGAATCATGTTGGTATAGAAATTAGTGTAAATAGCAATAAGAAAATAATATAAACCTGAAATAAGAAACGATCAATATGAATTATTCTAAATAATAACAATTCTAAGAGAAAACATACCAAAAAAAAATACATTTGTATTTTACGATTTATCAACCTTTTTTTAGGTTATTTAAAGCTGAAACATATTTGAATTGAAGGATTTATTTTCTTTGCGAGTGTATATTGTATTAATGCTTTGGAGATAATAACGGTTTTCAAATAAAATTCTTACTGTTTAACCCATAGTTGGAGGAGAAGTGTTGGATTTCTATCTTTCCTAATTGTATTTGCGCGTAAATAAACGTAACGAATTCGACTGGAATTCGAACTCGACTTACTGATTTTTCATTCCGAGCCATTATCCATTACACCACTCGCACATTCAACTGGTGTTCTCAAGCGGCTACTTCATCTGAACAGATTATACTTAATTTCAGTGATCGGATGAGAACCGGTGTTAGAAACATGATATGCTCTGGAAAAAACATGCAACTATAGAAATGAAGATTTAAAAATTAGATATTTAATTGTTTATTACTCGTAACTTAGTCTAGGACAAGGTTACAGGAATAAAGCACCCAATGAGTACTGAATTTACAAAAATAGATGGATATGTAGATACATAGATAAATAGATATTCAGTAAATAAAGGAAAGTCCAAGTGACTTTTATTTATCTATTCAGCGATTTGGGACAGAAGTTCAGCTAACATGAAAAAATTATGTTACATTCTTGTAGATTTCTTGCATTTCTTCAATTGGGATAGATAGATAGATAGATAGATAGATAGATAGATAGATAGATAGATAGATAGATAGATATGAAGGGAGTAAGCTAGCTACTAGATAGATAGATAGATAGATAGATAGATAGATAGATAGATAGATAGATAGATAGATAGATAGATAGATATGAAGGAGTAAGCTAGCTACTAGATAGATAGATAGATAGATAGATAGATAAATAGATAGATAGATATGATAAATAGATAGATAGATAGATAGATAGATAGATAGATAGATAGATATGAAGGGAGTAAGCTACTAGATAGATAGATAGATAGATAGATAGATAGATAGATAGATAGATAGATAGATATGAAGGGAGTAAGCTAGCTACTAGATAGATAGATAGATAGATAGATAGATAGATAGATAGATATGAAGGGAGTAAGCTAGCTACTAGATAGATAGATAGATAGATAGATAGATAGATAGATAGATAGATGGATAGATAGATAGATAGATAGATATGAAGGGAGTAAGCTAACTAGATAGATAGATAGATAGATAGATAGATATAGATAGATATGAAGGGAGTAAGCTAGCTACTAGATAGATAGATAGATAGATAGATAGATAGATATGAAGGGAGTAAGCTAGCTAATAGATAGATAGATAGATAGATAGATAGATAGATAGATAGATAGATAGAAAGGGAGTAAGCTAGCTACTAGATAGATAGATAGATAGATAGATAGATAGATAACGATATTCAGAACCAATGTCACTGATACTTAGCTCTAACTATATGTAGGTCACTGAGGGATAAGGAGAAGTTGGTAGAACTTAGAAACTGGTCGTTTCGAATCCTTTTACTTGGGCCTAATATTTTAGGTTATTGTCTCTCTGTGTGTTTGTCTGCGCGTGTGTGTATATAAAAATTCAGCTATAAATAAGATTATCTGTGTAAAAAAAGACAATATGAATAAATACAAAGGAAAATTATTCTTTACACACGAGGACGAAACGCGTTGGTAAAGAATAGTTATAGTTACACACACACACAAACACGCACACACACATATGCGTATAGATATAGATGGGTTAGCGATTATAACTGAATTTATCTATTAATCTATCGATAAGAACGACGGGATCAGGCTAAAGTTTTAGATATCACGAAGACTTTTAATAGGTTTTGGCATTTTGTCCTTTTCCACAAACTCAAAGGCTATGGTGTCTCGGAACGAAGATTTGTCCTTAACTAATCGTTTAATGAGAATCACGTTGAGCGGACACGCTTCTAAATCATTCCGTATTAATTCGGATCTATCTTGAAGCTCCTTTGTTTCTTGACTTCATCAATGACCAGACCCGATGTCATCAGTTCCCAATTAATAATTTATGCAGATTACAACTATTTACTCCAAATAGTTCCAAAAATTACTACTGGAAACGGCTCTCGAAAATTACCTCCGATCAATTGTTAAGAAGGTGTGGGGAAAATTGTGAAAACGGTTTACCTCGGAAACGACCACGAATCTGTGCGTCGTGCAAACTCCGGCTGCTTCAACGGAAAAAGAACCAAAATGGCGGCGCCCATGTTTTATGCCAGGCGGTCTCGAACAGTTAACGCGAAAACTCGTTGTCTCGTCATTCGCATGCAAATTATAATCGGTCCTCGGCTGTATAAAGCATGCGCGTTTTTTTTCTTTTTCTTTTTTTTTGTTTCCTTTTTTTTGTTTTCTTTTTTTGTTTTCTTTTTTTGTTTCCTTTTTTGTTTCTTTTTTTGTTTCCTTTTTTGTTTCCTTTTTTGTTTCCTTTTTTTGTTTTCTTTTTTGTTTTCTTTTTTTTCGTTTTCTTTTTGTCTGGGCACCTTTTTTTTGCTCGTGAGAAGGTTGGACTTGTGACACTATTTTTGTCGTTTTCTACTTTGTTGGACTTTTACGACGGGCTTTCGTTTGAACTGCGATTTGGCTACAAGTGCTGCGATCGAGAAATAGAAGAGCTCTATTGTGTTTTTTACTATCAGTTGACAGTCTTTTCTTTACTACAACAGAAGGTCAAAGAATAGTTTGTAAATTTTAATGCCTCCAAAACTAAATAATCATTTAATCACCAAAGACAGCCTATTCTGCCTTCCATCACTGTGGTTCATCTTAACTTCCAGAATAACAACACTTTCTCCTACATGGAATCACGTTTTCCACTGACGGCTGCTAGGAAATTTAGTTCACAGTGACAGATAATTTTTTCTCGTCAGAATTATTCTTACACTTTTATATACTTACGTTTCGTCCATGCATTGAATATTTGCTGCTATAACTGATCTGTTGCTACTACTATATATCTCAAGATTCTTGACAACATCCGAAGAAGGATCTGTAATGTTATCGGTCCTGACCTGGCATCGCTACATCAGTTACTTTCACACCGCCGTGATGTGACTTCCCTCTGTCTTTTCTATAAATATTTTTCGACTTTATGAATTTAAGCTTAGCTCTAGGTCTCATTGTTTTACTGTTGAACTTTCTCGATGTAACCGTAGTTCTACTTTAATACTTTATTTTCTCGCACTTCTCGCCTTTGGAGCTCTTTTTAGGTTTCTTGCTTCATTGTAATCTACGTTCTTCTAAAATTTAAATACAACGCTAATCACTGTTTTCTGTTTTTCTCCTCACTAAAGTATTTTCATTTCTCTTTTTCATTCCCAGTATTCCTTTGAATCTTAGAGGAATTATCACTTTTCTTGGACTGAAATGGTTCAAGACACTAAAGACGAAAATCTATGGAACGTCACGATCATCTATGTCTTGAATGTATATGGCATAAAAAAAAGAAACGTTTGATCAGGTTCTTAAAAGATCGAAGTCGATAGTGATTTAGTTATGGACGTATATAGATAAAAATGCATTCACTCAGTATAACTTTAACTTAATTGATTCATTCATTTTCTACATCTTATCGATCTTTTGCAAGTTATTTAAAGCCAGAAAATATTTTTAGATCGTAAAATTTTTTGAGGAAATAATGGTTTCATGAAACAAATCTTACTATTTAACCCATAGCTGAGGGAGAAAATACCTGCAAATACTCTTTCTTAGGGGTATTTGCACGTAAGTGAATATAACGAACCCAACAGAAATTGCAACTCGGCTTCCCCATTAATAATCCCGAGTCATTACCCATTACACCATTGGAACATCTAAGCTTACAGCACCTGATATTCCCAAGCGGTCACCCATCTAGGTACTGACCAGACTCGACGTTGCTTAACTTCGGTGATTGTACGGGAACTGGTGTTTTAACGTGATGTGCCCGCAAACTCTCTAACATTGGAGTATTTTTAACCATCATAACAATTGATTATAAGATAAGCTTCTGAGACTTTCAAGTCACTTTATGTTTATGTTTGGTCTCAACGAAATACGTCATGTTTAATTAAGCTAGTAGTCCACAATGCTTGAGTTATTTAAAACTTATTCATGCCAAACATGTTACTTATCGTAGATACATAGAGAAGAACTTTTCAAACAAAGTAACAAAATACTAATATATACGCACTTTTCTAATATTGTCTTGTAAAAATCTTTACAAATATTTTTTATTCATTTTTTTTTACTAGTATTTCTTCTATTTTTATTTCACTTCGGCTAACTCTTCATCCAAAGACTGCGATTTTACAGTCGTTAATATAAGAAAAGACACGCTGATCGATAATAAAAAATTGAGTTTTTCGATAAGTGCCGATTGCCCGTTTCTGATATTCCGTCACTGTCGTAAAATGAAATCTGAATAATATTTTTTTTAATCAATTCACCCCAAGCAAGGCGATGATGGCACTATGATGCAAGGGGCTAGTGTAAGTGAAAGAGAATGGTAAAAACTAGAAGAACACGGAAACCCAATCTCAAACAAGAAACAAGGGCGGGACCCGGAAAGAAATGTGTAAACGGCAGAAATCAATGGAAATAATAATAATAATAATAATAATAATAATAATAAGGTTGAAAGCTGAAACTGAAGGTTTTATCCTTGCTGCACTGGACCAATGCTTGCTAACTAGGAATTATCAAGCACATATACTAAAATATTGTGTCAGCCCAAAATGCATATTCTGTGATAAATATCCAGAAACGATTGATCATCTTGTATCAGGTTGCACGATATTGGCACCCACTGAATATAAAACCCGGCATGACAGAGTGGGTCAATATCTGCACTGGAAAATCTGCAACTTCTACGGGAAGAAAACTGAAAGAAACTGGTATGAACACCACCCAGACCCGGTTACGGAGATAGGACCTGTTACAATTCTATGGCGTAACACAATACACACTGACAGAACAATCAAGGCCAACAGCCCAGATATTGTTATTAAAGACCACAAACAAAAACGGTGCCTTCTTATTGCTATGGCAGTCCCTGATACGAAGGGTTTTATCTATGTAATTTTTTTTTTTTTTTTGTCAGTGGAAAGTGTCATGATGCCATTTGGGTCCCTGGGCGGAACCCGGAAATAAATGTGTAAACGCCGGAAATCAAAGAAAATAAAAAATAAAAAATAATAATAATAATAACAACAACAACAGACAGAAACTGGCTTGTTCTATTGTGACCGTTACTCCTGTTCAAAACACCGGGACAATAAAGTGAAAATGAAATTAATACGGAACAAGTTATTGTAAAAATAATTTTATTACATAATATGCCAAATAGTTTATTGTCTGTATTATATACAGCGTTTTACTGTACTAGAGTTATCGCCCTTGAGTCACGATTGCATGTCAAATAATGGCGGAGTCTTCGAAGACGCTTACGAAAGTAGGAGGTGAAAAGACACAATACAAAGACAAGGTTCAACAATAAGTGTTGGAAAAAATAAATGCATAGGTACTATACTATATATATATAGTTAAATGCTGGACAATTTCCTCACAGATGAAGATGAGAGTTGAGGTAAAAGAGATGTGCTTCTACAGAAAGATACTGGGGAAACAGATCATATGAGCAAGTTTTAAAGAAAATGGGGAAAAAATCGGAATAGAAAGGAACAGATTTATGAGAAAAAGGGCTCGAATAATTTGACACTCACAAGAAATATTTACGTCAAGTGGGACAGAAAGAAACAACAATTTATCTACCTAACGATTTTGTATAAATAGATTATAGAATGAAAGATATAGTAAAAAGACAAACATTCATAAGTCCTACAAAGAATTGGAAGTTGTAGATATCCATGATCGCCCACGACTTGAAGGAATACAGCACATATGGCAGAATATAGTGTTGACAGGAAATAATACTTCTTATTGTTACAAGTAATTAAGGGTATATCATATAATCATTTAACCATAATGCAAACCTCAAAATCATCTTTGCACACCCTAGTAATAAAATGTTCAAAGTGATATTTTCTTCCATATATCACGTGCAACAGGGGAGACATACCCAGTGGTTGGATCAAATGTTCTAAAGCTAGTTCTTCTAAAACCTTTCCGGAGGGACAATAAATTCCAGGGAAAGAAGGTTAGACTTAGAGAGGAAGAAGAGCAATACCTGCAAGGCAAATCGAAAGAGAAACAGATACACACAAAAGTCACAATAGATCAAGCCAGTTTCTGTCTGTTGTTGTTGTTATTATTATTATTATTATTATTATTATTATTATTTCCTTTGATTTCTGGCGTTTACACATTTCTTTCCGGGTCCCGCCCAGGAATCTAAGGTTAGAAATGGCATCATGGCACTTTCCATTGACAAAAAAAAAAAAATTACATAGATAAAGCCCTTCGTAAGGTGTGGGCTGTACTTGTCAGAACAATTTTTTGTATCTCCTTGAGGCATGGACTTCCAGGAATCCCTCCAATTAGTCTACTGCAATCTTTTCCAACCAGTCCTAGGGCTCCAACTGCAACAGGGATTGTTGATGTTCCCATATGCCACATTTTCGAGATTTCTATTTCAAGGTTCTTGTATTTTGACAGCTTTTTGAATATCTTCAAAGATACATTGCAGTCTGCAGGGATTGCCATATCAATTATTATTATTATTATTATTATTATTATTATTATTATTATTTCTGCATGTTATGCTTCCTGTTTTGTATCCTACATAGCCGGATCCAAACCATGGTCGTTAGGCCATTATTATTATTATTATTATTATTATTATTATTATTATTATTATTATTATTATTATTATTTCCTTTGATTTCTGGTGTGTACACATTTCTTTCTGGGTCCTGCCCAGGGACCTAAGGTTAGAAATGGTATCATGACACTTTCCACTGTAAAAAAAAAAATACATAGATAAAGCCCTTCTATTATTATTATTATTATTATTATTATTATTATTCATTTTTCTTCAGTTTTTATCGCAGTCGAAATTTTCAACAACAATAACAATGATAATAATAATCAGTATAGTAATAAAATAATACCAATAATAATAAAAACAAAAAAAAACAATAAATATGCTACAATACAAGTATCCTTACCAGTAAATTTTATTTATTTAATAATAATTTAACAATTATTCATGTAATAAAAACTACCACACTAAAAGTAATTGCTACAATAACAGTAAAATAATAATAAAGTTATTATAACGAATAATAATAATACCAATTATAACAAGAAAGTAAAAATACTAATGACAACAATACTAACTACAATAACAACAGTAATAATAATAAAAAAAAAACAGATGAATAACAAAATAAGAAAGTCTCTTCTTCATCTTTGAGGAAACCGTCTAACATTTGTTATGTTTGGTTTGGGCATTCAAAGATGGACGTGTGGTTTGCGATAAAATTGTTCTCTCGTTCTTGTCTTTTCACTTGTGAATATCTTGACTCCAACGATCTTAGTTCAAAGGTGAGTTAAACTTTTGAGATGAGCTGAGGGTTACCTGGAAGCAGATGGTTCTCAGCATAGAAAATGGAATCGGTGAAACAAGTTCGAACTCACATCAAGGATGTTTATATATGCTTTCCAATGAGATATGAATTATTTTCATTGTAGCATTTTGTCTTATCACCAAACATACTTACAAAATATATCGTCACTAGCATACTATATAGTTAATACAGCAAACATTTCTCCATCTCTCTCCTCTAATTGTATCTCTCTATTCCTATAACCACTCTCGTCTACCTTTTCCTAACTTCTCTCGTCTCCCAGCGTTTTCTCTCTAGTCTTCCTTTCTCTCGCCGACCTCTTTTCCCCATTTCTCACATTAACCTCTCATTCTCACACTTTTCTTTCCAGTATTATAACTCCCTCTACCTTTCTCTGTGCCTTCTTTCTCTCTTTCCAGTCTCTCAATAGCCTCCCCTCTTTCTTACTCTTCCAGCACTTTGAATAACTTCTCCTTCTATAACCTCTCCTCCCAATTCTCTCGTTAAATTCTATTACTCTACTTCTTCTCTCCGACTTCTCTCTATATAAAATTGCTCTCTCTCTCTCTCTCTCTCTGCTTGCTCGGTTTTATCGTTTTTTCAATTCGTTTTCAATTCATTTACGCACAAAAGCTTTTGGTCTGTATTATCGAAATCGCTTGTGAGTTTTGGAAGCAAGACCCTCAAGTCATTTTAGTCAAGTAGATATGAACAGGCATAGATAGATAGATAGATAGATAGATATGAACAGACATAGATAGATAGATAGATAGATAGATAGATAGATAGATAGATAGATAGATAGATAGATAGATATGAACAGAGATACAGAGAGAGAGAGAGGTGTCGATCGAGACTGACAGAGATTTTATTTCAGATTTTATAATGAAAATCAAAGTCAACCAATGTTCATGAGATTTTTCAACATATTCCTATATTTTATGCTAATGCATCACCCTAAAATGCCTATCCTTATTTAAAAAAAATAATATTGATAACTTGTTTGGAAAGTGTCGAATTTATTATGCAAACAAAGTACTACACACATTTTTATTTATAAACAAATCGAAAAGTAACCAGCCAAACACATTTGATTAACATAATATTCCATACACACCAATAAATTATTTTGCTTAATATGGGCTATTTGTCATTCTATATCCTTCATCAGTCTTTCATTCATTCATTATGGGTTTTTCTTCTATTTTGATTTTAACATTACAGTTTTTATAACATCCTAAAGATCATCTATGCATGAATATTTTTCTGTTCTCATTTTCATCTCTCTTAATGAGGAAAACAAATTTTTCTGTTAGATTAAGATCTAGAAAAGCTTGGTACCATTACATTAACTCATTTAGTCATTTTTCACAATATGGGCAATCACTATGTTGGACTAGTGTGAAGGAACATTGAATTGCACGAATATAAGCTTTACAATTAAGTTTCTATACACGTCAAAAATAAGTTTGTTTCAGAATAATTTTCTGGATTTACTTTGAGTCATTATCAAATTTGAAGAAACCTATATGTTTACTATCTGATATGTCTCGGAAAGGGTTATATTTGATCGAAGTAGCTAAGTGGTTTTGGTTACTATAACTAAGTAGTACACAGTAGCAGTAATCGACCGGTACTCGTTGTAGTCGCAGGTAATAGGTTTAGACCAATAGAATAGCCAATGGCGTGGTCCACTCGGCGTCGTCATAGACTTAAACTCTGTCGTACTTACACGTCCGTCTGTATTTATGACGGACACCAGCCAATCATATTCCAGTGAGGGGGAACACAGGTGTATGCATATTCCATTATATCACTATCCAAAAGAAATTACACCAAATTTCTTCTGTTGACTGCTAATTATGTAGGTTTACTATTTCTATGAATGAAACAATATTAGCCTAGACACCATATTCACCTAATACCTCGGAAGGAAATTACATTCTGAGAGACCAGTTTTCATGTACTTCTTCAGCCAAGATGATATTTGGGGGGGGGAGTTAAGTGA